AGATTGCATAAGTATGAAAACACAGAAGAAGGCAGAGCATTCCACAGTTTGGCTGTGTGAGGAAAGGAGGTACTATTATTATGGGTTATTCTCGTGTGACCGACATCCACAGAGAAACGGTAGGCACCGCGGGCAAGACGTGTGTTATGAGCCCACAGCCTTGCCGGCGGTACACAGGATGCCAAATCCACCGAACATTGCTCGAATACGACTCGGCTGTGACTCATAAATAACTGAATGCACCAACACAGAAACCTCAAAGACCAAAAGTTTTCTTTATAAGTTCTTAAGGTGTACTCAGTGATGATATTTATTCAAAGAATAATTTCTGAGTGCCTACTATGGGGTCTCAATAATTTGAACACCAACCACCCCAAAGATTTGATCATCCAACTTTTGTTTAACTAGGTTGCCAGTGAGCCTACCGAAGCCAGTCATCATCCGTCATAACATGGATCTTGTGCCCAAATATTTGCACTCTACTTTATTTATCTTTAAATACAGTACAGTAATGCCAAAATTTTCACCCACCTACTGTAACTTACTTATCATGCCCAACTATACTCCTAAACAGAGCCGTCCCTTGGGTATGGCAACCAGTGCGACTGCCCTGGGCCCCGTGGCCCTTACCTCACCCAACACCAGAATTAGTGACCGCGTTAAGCTGACCTCACCTTACCACCCAGATTCAGGAGACCACCTGAAGGATTAGTGACCAAGAGGAGTGAAGACATTGACAGCGGTGACCTGTCAGTGTTGTCCAAACCCTGAATCTCCAGTTGTCTGTGATTTGTGTTTTGTGAAATTGTTGATATACATCATTTTACTATAGTACACAGCCCTCTGTTATACCATGGCCAGCGGGGATAGAGACAGATACAGAAAATACATCTCGGGTGTAGAGAAAAGGAAGAGTTAAGAAATCAAAATGTTAATGAAAGGTTCCCTAGAAAAATATGTGTTTTCAGAAACACCAGAAACTAGTAGAAAAAGGACCTGGGTGACTGTGGTGGTGATCGTGTGAGTCATATTCAAGCTGAGGAAGAGGAGAGTACTGAAAAAATACTAAGGCTTTTAAAATGGACAGTTCTACCTATGCTAACGGGCGTGTTGATGAAGAGCTATGTGATCCAGCCAACTGGTCACATTTGCTGGACACTAACACGAAGACAATTGATATTTTGGTAGAAAAGGAACCTGTTAAGGTATCTTTGTTACTTTCTTGTGAACTTTATTGTCAAGTGTGAGTACAGGATGAAACCAGATACCCAGAGGAAACTTGGATAACACCTTCCTCACATGTCCAGGGTCTGGGGATTGAATCCATGACACAGTCTTGAGAGATACACACATTACTGCTGTACCACCACCATCACATTCCTTCCACTTCCATCTTGATCTTCCCTTTTCCCTTTTACCATCTACCTGTTTATTAGACATTCTTTTGGCCAATCTCTAATATCTCACCCTCTAAATGTTTCCAAACTACCTCAGGAAACCCAGGTCAGAACACTAGCCAACACCCATTTCATTTCTAGATCACTATCTTAATTTCTGCATCCTGTTCTTCTTACACTTTCCTCTCAAGCACATAATTTCTGTTGCTTTTACTTTATTTTTTCCTCTTACATACAAAATTGAGGTTTCACTTACACACATTAATGGCAGCTCAAGAAAATCTCTCTCTCTCTCTCTCTCTCTCTCTCTCTCTCTCTCTCTCTCTCTCTCTCTCTTTTCTCAACATTTCCTGAGCAGCTGCTATTTTTCTCTCTCATATTATGTATAATTCAAATTGTTAACTTATTCAAATTTCTATCACAGTAATAAACATAAACATTATCAAGGCAAATGATATACATCACAGAGCAAAACAATATAAATTGCATAGTAGGAAGTCAGGAGTAAAATAAATACTGTATCCTTAAACAAGTAATTACACTTCTTGAGTCTTAGGAACTTTACAATGAGATTAAACAAGCAGGCACAGGTAAGTCGTGTCATGCTACACAACTCCTCATATGATGATAATACCAAGAGAAACATATATAACCTAACAGATAAGCATACAATTATCCTCACTCCTTTATAATGAAGTATGACTACGGACAAATCTTTGAGGTCAAAAATTATCACATTACTATTATTCTCACATTATAACATCAAAGATATGATACATACACATTGGATTAAGGAAGTCATATGCAGAAGCAAAACACATTATACAATAAAAAATATAAATTTGTTGGCATAATTTTGTATTGTAAAATGAATAATTGAATCTTAAATTCCTTTGTAATAATCAGTGATTTATTAGGAAACCCTTAAGCTTTTAGGCTTGCCCTTACAGGAACCCAGAATTTAACTATTAATTATTATCCAACTGATCATCTTTCTCCCCACCCCTCCTTCCATTGCACAATCTGCCTTAAATAAGAGTGTGTTTGTGTGGAGGTTGTTGTACCCCTGCTGGGATGAGAAGGTTGGAAAAACATTATCAAAATAAACATGTACTGTACCATCATGCCATAGTGCTGACTCCATCTTTCATGTTCATTATACCGGTACATGGAAATCCATATTCACTCAATGGAGGCAAATTAGTTCCAGGTGACCAGACATGCTACAGCTGTTTATACACCATTAAATAGTCTTGCAGATTTCTCCCTACTCCTTCCAGGGTAGGTGTACATCCTCCATACAAGTCCCCTTTCATGAGGTGGACAGTGCAGGGGGAAGGGGGGTGGAAATTAGTTAGATAATAATCAAAAGATTCATCCTGGTAGAATCTTGGGGCCCAACTAAAGGAGTCCCTAGCAACTTGTCCCCTTTTACAAAGAGCCAGAAATATGCAAATGGTATAAGAGGAGCTCTGGACCATAATCTGCTAAGTCCCAAAATAGAAAATGGAGGAAAATACTCAGGTAGTAATGTGTGTGGCATACAACAGTCTTTTCAGAGGACTCTCACCCACATGTACAGTCTCCCAAAAGTATCGGTAGATTTTCCGTCGCTACAATTTGAAACGCTAGGCAAAAGCTTTGATACCATCCTCAAAGCATCATCATAAGTTGGTACCCCTGCTTGCCATAACAGCAACAGCGAGAGATGGGGAAGGATTGGGCGAGGGAGTCGTCCTTGTATGACATACTAAATGTACGTATAAAATGAAATCCATTAAGCTATATTAATGTGTCTATCATGCTGGGTAGAAGCAAGTCATAACAAGCCACTGACAGATGAATACAATAACACTGAAATACAAATTAAATGGGAATGTTTTAGAACATCATAATCGAGACTGAGACCAAGATGTCAAAATGGACATGTCACCATTCCATTGTTGTACTAATGGAGTTTCATTCATGCTGGGTTTCACAATATGCTTACTTATGTCGTTCACGATGTCTGATTTATGGAGGGAGACTAAGCAAATAGTACTTAATATTAGAGTGAACAACTACAGTAATATACCCTATATCAGTCTGCATGGGATCTGCCGGGTTGCTGATATGTAAATTACATTGGTTTAACACTGAAATAAGGTTTCTTATCAAGGGATCTTGCAGGAACAGAAACCCTGTCCACCTAAAGTATGATATTTGTGGTTTAAGTTTCAGTGTGGCAGCAGCAGTTTCATTGCGCCTAACCGATCGTGATAATGTGACTTCGCTCACCCCAGTTCCCTGTGCTATCTCAGGGTTACATATACCCTCGTTGTATAGAGCAATAATAACAACTCTCACATCTTGCGAAGTCTTCCCGATAATTCCTCACTCCATTCAATGTAAGATCCCGTCGATGACTGGCATGGCATCGGCGTCCATTTAAGACATCCACTCCAAATCACGTCATGTGTCTGAAGTCTCGGAGGATTCGCATCATTTGAAAACGTATATACTGTATATACAGTATATACTATATACTGTAAACACGAGCTCCTCAGTGTTTACACAACATTCATACTTCCCAAGCTCACCTATGCCTCCCCCACCTGGTCTTCCTCCCTAAATGCCACACAACGTAAACACCTAGAAAAAGTGCAAAAGAGGGCATGCAAGATTATTCTCTCCCCTTCCTACTCCACATATTAAGAAGCGCTCAACACACTGACCCTTTCGACTCTCACTGACCATCACCACGACCTCATCTGCAAATTTGGTAAGAAGCTTCTACACCATCCTCGACACCGGCTCCTACTACCACCTGAGATCCCTAGTCCGAGAATTGCTGTTCGACACCACAACCGCATCCAGCCCATACGCACGAACTGATCGCTATAAGAACAGCCCAGTCCCAACCATTGTAAAATTATCAATAACTGTAATAAACCAGTGTATTCACTCCCAGTAAACACTACTCCTTGCACTGTCACTATGTTGAAATGAACTGTAGTTTGAGCTTTTCCCCATCTAGTTATTATATGTCTTATTTGTGTCACTTATGTTACTTGTATATTATTTGTAATTCGAAACCCATTCCCCAAATATGTAACTGTATATTTTCAGCCTTCTGGCTGCCAAGCTCTTTCAATAAACCGTTAATTATTATTATTATTATTATTATTATTATATTCATTTATGCTCAAAGGTCGTTTTTGTAGAACTCCCAACAGTCAGAAATGGGTTGGGTAACATTGCTTGGAAGCCTCGAATCACGTCGAGCCCACGGCCAACAATACTTTTTGGGGGGACTGTACATGTTCCTGACTTACCCAGGGAGACAGAGGAGAGGTTTGGCAATACAATACATAATACAATTCAGCGACATATGGCTCTTGACGGGTTATGGTCCGGAGCTCCTCATATACTCTACAAGACATCATGATTTTATAAATGATTCACAGTCAAGGAAAGTTTGAGGATAGTGTGCATGATTAACTGATGTATAAAACTGAATCTTCTAAATATAACTGGCAAAATGACATGTTAAATGAACAACAAGGCCATCCTGTAGTGTTAGTGATGTCTTAACTTAAAATATATAAAGCCAAATACAAGTAGCAAATTTCAGTACTTTTTATTCAAATTGTCATACATATAATCATATTAAATTAGGAAAAAAGAGAGAAAACCAGACTAATGATGAGATATTCAACCAACAATATATCTGGTAGTTTTGGACAGATTAGCTACTATGTATAATAATATTATAATCAATACCAGATGCCTCTCATTCACTCGTCCCATCAAAATTTGTATACAGATATTCAGTACTACAGTGTAGGTTACCACAGCATCTGTAAAACTTATTCATTTGCAGTCTTCCAGTTCAAAACCAGAAAATCTACTTAAAGCTCTTTGTTCTTCTGTGTTTCCTTTTTGCTTTCATGTTTAGTTTATATTGTGTGTGTGTGTGTGTGTGTGTGTGTGTAATACAAATATCCCTCACATAAAAATACTCCAACTGCTCACACCACACTTACATCGCACCTTTCAAAATGCATGTTACCACTGGCATTCTCTTGAAACACATATTTTTATGGCCCTATATGAGGCTAACCATATTACCTGTTAAAATATCCAAATGTAAGCTTATATACCAACACTATGTTAAGTCATGTTGCTCATATGAAATTTTTTTATAAGTATTAGTTTTCATTTTTATTACACTTAAAAATGTTACAAATCTTATGGTGACTTTAACCAATAACAAATCAGCCCTACCATGAATGAGACCTAGAAAAAGGTTGTTGTTACTTTGTTTTTGTGTAAGTTCGCATATACACATGGAGGTGGGTGACTGACTTTGTGTGTGCAAGTGCATAGGTAAGTGAGTGCCTAAATGTGTGTGTTATGTGAAAAAAAAAGCATGTGTCTAAGCTCACAAATGCCTTACTGTATTGTGTGCACCAGTGCATTTATATGCATATCTGAAGTAAACAAAGCAGAGAATGGGTTGGGTGTAAAGAGGACTGCTTAGTACAGTATGGGCCAACAGGCTCGCAGCAGCTTCCTCCATTCTTGTGTTCTTATGCTAATGCTTTTCATCAAACAACTGGTGAGATTTTCATGTGGGTCCAGGGAAAATAATTTAATACCAATGAAGGTTTGTCAAAGGTTAAGTTGAAAGTACCTTACATAGCCTCCAGGATGAGGGTTGTGAGCGAATGAGAACTCTTCAAACTTTACTTTATTCAAACTAATACTAGTATTTTATTCCCTTTTCTTGTTCATAAAATTAACATATGATAAACTTTAAATGTTAAATAGGAATTTAGTAACTCTAGCCTTGAAGTTTTTCAGTGACTAAGATGTGTTGTCCACAGTGTAACACTGTACCTCATAAATACGGCACTATATACTGAACTGTGTCTGTTGTATTATAATAATTGCCTGCACCCATTCATGATTACATACTATTTAGTACTGTGTACTGTAATGGGTATATGCAAATACAGCATTTGAAATATTTACAGAAAGAAACTAATATATTGCACAATGGCTTCTTCTACATGCTCCAGTTATACAGTGGTTCATTGAATCTTCCCCTCACGCATCTCTTGTATCCTTCTTGTCATCTTTGGTTTCAACTTACTGTAGGCACACCTGTTCCTCCTGTCATTGTTCTCACATTCATTCATTAAATATGTTCAAACTATATTATCACTTATAAAATGACTACTTTTCATGTTACTCCCATATTCCATGTTCATACCACCTTTAATTTATCAATAATTATCATTCTCATATTCAAACATGCCCATACAGTATCCTCCAGGTCCTCAAAACACAACATTATGTTTCTGATTATTTATCTCCAAATATGAACTTTACCTGTATAGTACTGCAATCTCTTAACCTTTAACTTTCATCCATGCATAAGCAATTATCTGAACCTTATAAGCATTTAAATTGATTCTCCTACATTCCTAAACATAATATACCTAAATATCTATAAATTTAAACTCTCCCAGAAACATTTCACTTACCATTTGATATTGCCCCCAAAAAGTTCTGAGACATTGCCACCTACCAGCATCAGCAGTTAACATTCTAGAAATACATCAAATTCACACTTTACAATTTTCTATCTCTGATCTGTTAGAAAATTATTAGGTTTATAGTCATGAAATATAGGAAAACAGACTGAAATAATATATTACACTAATTACCGTATATATATTATTAATAGGGCCAAAGGAAATATTGTGGCACACTGGTCATGTCTACTACACAAGTACATCAATGTTGCCAAGGTGACCAACTTAACCTGTATCTTCTAAAGTGATCTTATACAAAGTTTGGATAAATATTACTATTTTACAGCTTCAAGAAACTGACTATACAAATGACTAGATTCTGAATAGATAAGCATAAACATGAGACAATACTGTACTTATACAGTATCTACATCCAAACACTCATGGTGTGGTGGGTGTGGTAAATTTAAGAAAATCTCAAATTACATTCTATGGCAAAACAACTATAAACATGAGGACAATTCCTCAATGTAACTAACTGCTACCAACTGGTTTTAACTTCAAACTTCTGAGTGGATGGGGAAGTAAGCCAAGGCCACCATGTCAGAGGCCCATAGTCATTAAAAAGTTGGTTAACAAATTAAGGCTCTTCCAAATTATAGATTACACGATGAGTTCCTTCTTGTTCACATTCTATCTATATGACTGCTATTATTTGGTCAATTTCTTTTTAAATTCAAGGTGTGTTAAAGGTAATGTTTTAGGTGTCTTCTACAATATAATGTACTGTACAGTGAGTTCTGCTATAACGCGTGTTTTGCCACTGCGTGTTGGCTGTAACGCGATTCCACTCGAACGGTTTAAGTGTATGTATACAGTATTGTCGCTCGGCGCGGGGTTATGCAGTGTTTACAGTTCACATTCGACATCACATGTTCACTTGATTTATGTGTTTTGTTTGTGAAGAATTGCAGAAATAATTTATGTAATATTTATGTATACAGTATACCTGTACAGTACAGGTATATGTAAATAGTAAAATTTTAAATAAAAGAGAAAAACAAAATACATAGCATTTTACACCCGCGCTCTCTGTTTACATCACACACGATCAGTTTGAAACACGTGGGAAGTTTTGAAGCGTCCTCAGTGATTTTTGCTTACTGTTTCTCCAATTTTGTGAATATGGAAAAGAAGAATATCTCCGGGAAGCGTTCTGGTGATCGCATTTCCGGTGGTGATCATAAAAGAAAGGCTATAACACTTGAAGAAAAGCTTAATGTTGTCAAGCATTTTAAAAATAAGGAAAGAACATGTTGTTACGAACCCCGCCACCAATTGTCATGATCTACCTACCCAGCACTACGAACCAAGCCATCTATTGTCCTAATATCTTCCTACCCACAGAAGATCTGTACAATAAGACCATTAGTAAGGATGAGCTCATTAAAGCCCAACAATCTGATCCATCTTTGAATAAACTTCATCATGCAGCAGTTGAGGGTAAAGATTTTAACACCCTTCCGTGTTTTTATTATCATGAAGGGGTTTTGATGAGGGCCTATTGGCCCCCTGAGCTTGCCCATCTAGACACGTGGTCTGAAATACATCAAGTAGTAATTCCCTCCTCGGTCAGACCAGCATTAATTGCCCTTGCCCATGATGGTATTTCAGGACATTTGGGAATCCTGAAAACATATAAAAAGCTCCTCCAACACTATTATTGGCCTGGACTTAGGAAGGATGTGTCAAAGTACCTAAAATCTTGTCATATTTGTCAAATGGTAGGAAAACCAAGTATACCAGCAGCTCCCATTAAGCCCATCCCAGTATTTTCTACACCATTTGAAAAGATTGTTGTGGATTGTGTGGGCCCATTACCAAAGACTAAGAAGGGAAATCAATTCCTGCTCACAGTTATGGATACCAGTACACGTTATCCTGAGGCTTTTCCCCTTAAAAGCATCACTTCAAAAAACGTAATCAAACATCTTTTGCACCTTTTCACTTCAGTGGGCATTCCTAAAGAGATCCAATCCGATCAGGGCACCAATTTTACGAGCAATCTTTTCAAACAGGTGATGAAAGACCTCAGTGTGGACCATTGTACATCTTCGGCTTACCACCCACAATCCCAAGGTTGCTTGGAACGGTTCCATCAAACTTTCAAATCAATGCTCAAAAAATACTGTATAGAACACCAAAAGGAATGGGATGAAAGCATAGACTTGTTACTCTTTGCCATCAGGGAATGTCCCCAGGAGTCATTGGGTTTCTCCCCGTTCGAGTTACTATATGGGAGACAAATTAGGGGACCCCTTAAAATAGTAAAGGAGCAGTGGTTTGACACTCCATCTATTAAGCCCGCAACAGTTTCCCAATACACTGACACTTTACGGGACAAATTAACTGAAGTCCGAACCATTGCTCAGTCAAACTTAAAAAAAGTCCAAGAAAAAATGGTGAAGTCCCAACCTAAATTAGTTAAAAGATCATTTTCTCCAGGTGACAAAGTGTTACTCTTTCTACCCATTCCAGGCTCTCCCCTTAAAAGCAAGTTTACTGGTCCCTATATAGTTGCTGATAAACTATCTCCCCTCAACTATATAGTCCATACTCCTGATCGCAGAAAAGATTCACAACTTGTTCACATTAATCTCATGAAACTTTACCATTCCAGGCAGTCAGAGGAAGACATCCCAGAGGCTATAAGCCAACCAGTAATGCATACGGTTTTGTCAGGGCCGGAGCCGGAGACAGATGACATGGACCTATTGGAGAATTTAGACTTCCCTCTACCTAAAGAGAACCCTGCTAACAGTCACATACTCAACAACTTGGATGAGTATTTTTCTGTTCTGAATCCATCTCAAGCAAAAGATCTCACTAAGTTATTATCAACATTTCCTAAAGTCACGTCAGACCTCCCAGGGTTTTGCAATATACTTAAACATGATATTAAGCTAATCTCAGATGATGTACAACCCATTAGGCAATCAGCCTATCGACTAAATCCACAAAAAAGAGAGATTATGAAAAAGGAGGTAGACTTTTTGTTAAAACATAACTTAGCTGAGCCTAGTACCTCCCCCTGGGCTTCACCTTGCCTTCTCATTCCAAAACCAGATGGAACTTTTCGTTTCTGTACCGATTATCGTAAAGTGAACCAGGTCACTGTCTCAGACTCCTACCCTTTACCTTTGATTGAAGATATAATAGACAGCATAGGCTGTGCAAAATTTATCAGTACCGTGGACCTGTTGAAAGGATATTATCAAGTGGGACTCACGGATAGGGCAAAAATAATCACGGCATTTATAACTCCATTTGGTCTTTTTCAATATTTGGTTATGGCGTTTGGCTTTTCTAATGCTCCGGCCACATTCCAGAGGGCCATCAACTTCCTAATTCAGGACCTAGGTGGGACGTTCGCCTACCTGGATGACCTGGTGGTGGTGTCGGACAGCTGGGACGAACATCTGGTGCGTTTGGAGATACTGTTTGCACGACTACAAGAGACTGGATTCACCATAAACCTGGCTAAATCTGCTTTTGGCGGGCCTCAGTGACTTACCTGGGACATATCGTTGGGCATGGTATGGTGAGACCCAAGGACGCAAACGTTAAAGCCATCTTGTCCTTCCCCACTCCAAGGACGAGGAAGGAACTCATGCGCTTCCTGGGGATGTGCGGCTACTACCGTCGGTTCTGCAGTAACTTCTCCAGCGTGGCCGGACCCCTCACAGACCTTACCAGTTCTGCTGTCCCTTACATCTGGAACCAGAGGTGCGACCAGTCTTTCCACCGCCTCAAAGCCTTCCTTGCCTCCAAGCCTGTAGTCCACCCCCCTGACTACACCTTGCCCTTCCATCTGCAAATCGACGCTAGTGGTGTCGGAGTTGGGGCTGTGCTCCTACAACCCGACCCAACCACTGATGTCCTTCACCCTGTGGCATATTACTCCGCGAAGTTGAAAAAACATCAGACCAACTACTCGACCATAGAGAAGGAGGCCCTGGCTCTGGTGTTGGCAATAAAGAAGTTTGAATGTTACCTCCAGTCTTGCCCACAAACAACCCTAGTCTTCACCGACCATACCCACCATACGTGAGTTCATCCAAACCAACAAGACCTCCAACCAGCGAATCCTCCGCTGGGCTCTCCTCACCCAGCCCTATAACCTACAAGTCCGGCACATAAAGGGGGTGGACAACCTGATTGCAGACTCCTTATCCCGAGCTCCATTGGAAATGCAGCAGCTACTCTCCAGACGCACCAGGTGATCACCTCCTTCGCACCCGCGCTACGGAGGTCTTTGAAGGCGACAAATATATTTGTCAGGTACCCGTTAACCATCCAGTCATTCAATCTTGGCTGCCCAACCTAACAAATTGGGGGCCTGTCCGGGATACCATTTGTTACGAGTTGGGGATTTAGAATATAGTTAAGTCTACCCAGATCCCAACAGGCAACAAAAAACAAAAACAAAGACAATCAGACTATAAAAGGGTAGACAAAGGATGCGAGTTTTCGTTGTGTATAATAAAGTACCATGAATTCCTTAACAAAATAATCAGCTTCCTATAAATTACCCTTAACCAAACTTAACCTAAACATTAACAGTATATACATATTAATACAACATAAAACAATCGTGAAGCAAGGTGGAGGTGGGAGCGGCAATACAAGATTACAAATACTTAAGTGGGGAGCCGAGATGGCTGACGAGTAAGGCTGAGTATTGTAGAAGACGGTAGGTAGTCACTGTGCCGTAGGTTCAGAGGATAGGTGATCCTGTGGTCACTTCCCAGAGTGTAGTGTTCTCTCCTCGAATTGGAGCTGACAAAGAAGACTTTGAGGAGGTGACGCAACAACCAGGATATGGAGAAGGGAAACCCCGGAGTGGTAACTAAGACAAGTCATACTAGTGTTTCATCCCTAGATGGCGTTGCTCGTGGTGCTGGGTAGGTAGATCAGGACAATAGATGGCGTGGTTCGTAGTGCTGGGTAGGTAGATCATGACAATTGGTGGCGGGGTTATTAACAATGTGATATTGTGCGTGCAACGGGAATAAAGGAGTCTACTTTACGCACCATTAGAGACAATGCAGCAAAGATTAAAGCAAGCTGTATTGCTGGAAAAGCCTTGAGTGCTAGCAAAAGTGTGAGATCACGGCCAAAGGAACTTGAGGAGATGGAATGGCTTCTAAGTGTTTGGATAGAAGATCAAACAAAAAAGTGATCTGGGACCAGCTTCCTCATCATTAAAGAGAAAGCCTTATCAATATATGAGGACCTAATGAAAAAAGCTGAAAATCCTGCTGATGTGGTTGCCTTTAGTGCTAGTAGTGGATGGTTTTCTGGTTTTAAGAACCGCTATGCTTTTCATAATGTAAAGTTATGTGGTGAAGCAACAAGTCCGCGGGCATTTCCTCCCACTGTGAAGAAATTGATTCAGGAAGGCTACACCTTAAACCAAATTTTTAATTTGGATGAAACAGGTTTATACTGGAGGCGCATGCCAACAAGAACTTACATTTCCAAGAATGAAGCACATGCTCCAGGCTTTAAGGCTGCGAAGGACCGTGTGACAGTGTTGTTGGGTGCAAATGCTAGTGGAGACTTAAAGCTTAAGCCTGTGCTGGTGTATCACTCTGTCAACCCGCGAGCTTTAAAGGGTTACATAAATTCTACTCTAGGTGTTCACTTTAGGTCAAGCAAAAAAGGTTGGATGATGGGACAAATTTTTTCTGACCTTCTTCTGGATGTTTTTGAAAGTGTTTTTAAAAATTATTGCAAGAAGAAGAATATAGATTTTAAGATTCTCCTCATTTTAGATAATGCGCCAAGCCGCCCTCCCACCATTGCTGAGCTTTCTGACAATATCAAAGAGCTCTTTCTACCTCCAAATACAACATCTTTCCTTCAATCAATAGACCAAGGAGTAATAGCAGCCTTCAAAGCCTATTATTTGAGGCGTACATTTAATAAACTTATTGCAGCTACTGAGGAAGGAAATGATAAGGTACAGTGTTCTTCAATTTTGGAAAAGTTTCAACATCAAGCATGCAATTGACATCATTGTGGAGGCCTGGGGTGTTGTAAGGACTGCTTGAGTGGAGTTTGGCGGAAGCTTCTCCCAGATTTAATTCATGATTTTACAGGCTTTGATGCATCAGCGGAGCTCCCAAAAATAAAAGAAAATTGTGTTTCTCTTGCAAAGCAAGGTGGGTTTGTTGAAGTGGAAAGTGCTGATGTTGAGGAACTGCTCGAGTCCCACTGTGAAGACCTCTCTACAGAAGATCTACAACAACTTGTTGCTGCTGGGGAAATAGAAGATGCCGAAGATGATGAAGTCAAGGATGCAAAACCACGAGAGCTTCCCACTTCTGTTTTGTCTTCTATCCTGAGGGAAGTTGATAAGCAGTTGCAGATCTTGGAAGGCAATGACTACAATGCAGAAAGGAGTAGGATTGCAGTTCGTGGTGTTAAATCTTTTTTGGCACCTTATGAACAGCTTCTTTGTGAAAGAAGAAAGATGGCAAAGCAGCAAACATTAGGCGTCTTTTTTAAGTTAACCCCCAAGAAGCAGTCTAAACCACAGTCTGAAGACAGTGAACCACAGCCATCCACTTCTGGAATTAGACGTTTTTTTTCATCCCTCCCATGCAACCAAAACTGCACCTGATGATGATGATGATGATGACAACTCTCAACTCCTGTCTGCATGACTCCTCAACCTCAACATCAACCTTCTCCCCCATCAAGTTATATTCATATTTTTTCAAGGTAAAGTGTAACATTTACTGTATGATTTGATTATCAGATATGAATTTAACATTTATTTAGACTGTGCTATCCTTTGTGTTAGGCTAACCACTAATTTTTTTTTATTTCGAGTAATCTGCACTTAACCCTATTTTCTCCATAAGCCCTGTTATTTCTATTGCGCGAATTTCTAGAACGCGAGGTTTTACAAGAACACAACTATCGCGTTATAGCAGAACAGACTGTACTGTACTGTACAAGCTGCCACTGAAACTACTAATGATAGTTGATGATTATTGTGTGATCACTTCATCAGAGACGCCTCTCCTCACAACACTTCATATAAATATGTTTTTCAAAGACACTTATATTATAAACTGACCATGATGTACCATGAGTAATATTACAGATCTTCAAAAGGCATTATTAAGAGCTAAACCATGTACAGATAGAACACTACACTGTACTACTGTACACAATACTGTACTAAAAGAGATTCATCTATTAGAACCCTGCTAAAGTGCTAAGACATTGAGGCACAACTTGAGGAAAACATTCTTGAGAAAACAGTTAAACTTAATAATGCAAACATTTATAGAAAAATAAAAGCTACTAAAGCATACCAATCAGCTAACTAATACAGGGTATTAATAAATAGCAGAGACAAAAATTAACATAGAAAATATGTCATACACAAAGTGCTCTTGACCTACAGGAATCTCAAATATAGAATCTACATTACATCTGGTGGTGGTATCTAGACTATACATGGAGGTCACAACTCCACTTTAAAATGTTTGAATTCCCTTAAATTTATATGGTCAGAGTTACTCCAATAATTATAATCAGTATATGTATATATATATATATATTATTTTTTTAAGCATCATCTGCCATCAGACAATCCTCTGTTTTTATTTGTTGAAAAAATACTGGACATGATAAGCAGCACCTACACACCTAATGAAATTATATTTGGTACCCATTTGTGAAAACAGTAAAATGCTACATTAAAAACTCACAGAAAATGGTACTAGGGTGGATTTCGCGAGGATATCTGCCGAGCTCGTCACCATCTGATGAGAACAACTCAGTCTTGCCAACCCATTCTTGCTTATGAAGATGCTAAAGCACCCGAGTGGGACACATTTCAGAGACTTCAAATATGTGAGAAACATTAATACAGTATACTGCACTGTATAGAAATTAAAAATAAAATAATAAATAAATACAGTAAATAAATAAATGAAAGAGAGCGTGAACTAAACCCAATTGTTCACTATTAGAATCCTCTCTTTGTGACATCCTACAGTCATTTAATCTTAACTATGATGAGGAATCTTCTTCAAACTGAAGTATAAAGATATAAAAAATAGGTTGACTATGCAACAAGAGACAATAAATTATAAATTATTGCAAGAAATGTACAATTACCTTTATCTTGTAAGTTCCACTGAAACTGATACTGTACACGCAGACATTTGTCAACAGTAAACCCACATAGTGGGGATAAAAGTCACATCATATATATAAGACAAATTATAATACATATCAACTTTAAAATATGACACAAGGAGACTGCAATATCAAATTACCTTTGCTATACGTAATTACATTAAATAATAAGCTAAACTCTACTTGCATCAATGGTGGTGACCTACCTTATCTTATATGCCATTTAATCTATATACTGTACTGTACTGTACTGGGTATTGATTGCCAGTATTAAGCACAAATAATATGTTGGACTATTTATCATACTTTCTGGCAGATTTACAATGTTTTGGTCGTGGGATACCTGACTTCTTCCTGCGGGGTTTGGCAGGCGGTCGAGAGTAAACATCAGGACTGTAGGATTGGTAGACCTGCCACATATCACCATCTTGGTTCTGTAAATGTAATAATAACATTACACAGTTATGTGACATATTGGGATGAGTAACTATAACTAAGGTCTATGTGCAGAGTAACCACTTCGAAATATTATAGTGTACACAAGTGCTGCTAAGAAAAACTGGTTCCAGAAAGTTAAAACAAAAAAAAATCTGAAACCAATGTGCACTTCTAAAGATGGTAAGGAAACTTTTACACAAGAAATGATTAAACTCTTGTGAAAACTGCACAAGTTTACATGACCAGTACCTTTACATACACACTATAGATGGACAGGTGGGGTACAGCCTTACAAACACCTTACATTTTTTCTTCAGTGTTGACAGAGTACAGATGGTTAGGCACAGTATAGTTGACCCTCGAAAATTCATGAGTTAAAGACTGAGCAACATACCCATAACTATGAATTTTTAAAGTTAAGGACTTTTAGGGAAAATTAAGTTTGGGACGGAGAAACATCACCTGAACTCTGCCATAGAAGGAAAACCCAAACATCACATGAACTCTGCCATAGGAGGAAAACCCAAACATCACCTGAACTCTGCCATAGAAGGAAAACCCAAACATCACATGAACTCTGCCATAGGAGGAAAACCCAAACATCACCTGAACTCTGCCATAGAAGGAAAACCCAAACATCACCTGAACTCTGCCATAGGAGGAAAACCCAAACATCACCTGAACTCTGCCATAGAAGGAAAGAACTCTGCCATAGAAGGAAAAACCCAAACATCACCTGAACTCTGCCATAGGAGGAAAACCCAAACATCACATGAACTCAGCCATAGAGGAAAAACCCAAATGATCACCTGAACTCTGCCATAGAAGAAACCCAAACATCACCTGAACTCTCTGCCATAGAGGAAACCCAAACATCACATGAACTCAGCCATAGGAGGAAAACCCAAACATCAACGAACTCTGCTGAGAGGAGGAAACCCCAAACATCACCTGAACTCTGCCATAGAAGGAAAAACTCAAACATCACCTGAACTCTGCCAGGTAGAAGGAAAAACCCAAATATCACCTGGAATCCCCTGCCATAGAAGGTTGAAAACCCAAACATCACCTGAACTCTGCCATAGAAGGAAAACCCAAACATCACCTGAACTCTGCCATAGAAGGAAAACCCAAACATCACCTGAACTCTGCCATAGGAGGAAAACCCAAACATCACCTGAACTCTGCCATAGGAGGAAAACCCAAACATCACCTGAACTCTGCCATAGGAGGAAAACCCAAACATCACCTGAACTCTGCCATAGAAGGAAAACCCAAACATCACCTGAACTCTGCCATAGGAGGAAAACCCAAACATCACCTGAACTCTGCCATAGGAGGAAAACCCAAACATCACCTGGAATCCCCCACATTGGAGGAAAACCCAAACATCACCTGAACTCTGCCATAGAAGGAAAAACCCAAAACATCACCTGAATCCCTGCCAGGAGGAAAACCCAAACATCACCTGAACTCGCCATAGGAGGAAACCCAAACATCACCTGAACTCTGCCATAGGAGGAAAACCCAAAGACACCTGAACTCTATAGAAGGAAAAAACCTAAACATCACCTGAACTCTGCCATAGGAGGAAACCCAAACATCACCTGAATCCCCTGCTGAAGGAAAACCCAACATCACCTGAACTCTGCCATAAGGAAAACCAAACATCACCTGGAACTCTGCCAGGAGGAAAACCCAAACATCACCTGAACTCTGCCATAGGAGGAAACCCAAACATCACCTGAACTCAGCCATAGAAGGAAAACCCAAACATCACCTGAACTCTGCCATAGGAGGAAAACCCAACATCACCTGAACTCTGCCATAGGAGGAAACCTGCAAACATCACCTGAACTCTGCCATTGGAGGAAACCCAAACATCACCTGAACTCTGCCATAGAAGGAAAAACCCAAACATCACCTGAACTCTGCCATATAGGAGGAAAACCCAAACATCACCTGAACTCTGCCATAGGAGGAAAACCCAAACATCACCTGAACTCTCGCTATAGGAGGAAAAAACCCAAACATCACCTGAACTCAGCCATAGAAGGGAAACCCAAACATCACCTGAACTCTGCCATAGGAGGAAACCCAAACATCACCTGAACTCTGCCATAGGAGGAAAACCCAAACATCACCTGAACTCACATAGAGGAAACCCAAACATCACCTGAACTCTGCCATTGGAGGAAAACCCAAACATCACCTGAACTCTGCCATAGAAGGAAAACCCAAACATCACCTGAACTCTGCCATAGAAGGAAAACCCAAACATCACCTGAACTCTGCCATAGGAGGAAAACCCAAACATCACCTGAACTCTGCCATAGGAGGAAAACCCAAGTACGTAATGAGCAAATGTCATCGGTAATGATCACGAGAATGATGTACAGGCAGCAGGAGGTGGTGGTGAGGAGATGGAGGTAGAGGTAAAAGGAAGGGTGGGTGGGTGGGTGGGTGGGTAGGGTAGATTGGGTGGGTCAATGATGCAGATACACAAGAGATAGTGGTGGTAAAAGAAGGCAAGTCTACCTCAGTGACAGTGGTGTCTGAACCTTTATAAAACTGTACAGTACTATGGTTATTTTTCCTTCAAGAACAGTCAACAACTAGGAATTATTTGACCTAAGAGTACACTACAGTATCTCCATGATTAGGTCACTGTCATGCTTTTCAAAAGTCTGGCAACAATAAAAGGCACGGTGGAAGTGTATATTTACTAAGAAATAACAAATAAGATTCCTCGGGTTCTTCTCATAATTCAAACCATCTTAAAACTAATGGGAGTAATGCACGCACACCATAGCTGTTTTCTTTATTTGCCCCCATACAAGCCAATCTCTTTGGAACTTTATGGGCCACAGATATTTACAATGGGCCGTAAACTACTCAAAAAGTGGGATAAACTGGGGTACAGTAAGTCCTTCTACAGTATCATGAATTATCGAGGGTTGACTGTAGTTGGTGTTGCATAATTATTATATAAAAAACATAAACTTACTCATAACCTCAAAAGATTTACAAGATAGAGTTATGTCTTCTTTTATAAATAATTGATGATTTCTTTAAATAACACAAAAAGTTTTAACCACACAGTCACACACATATGATGTATAAATGGCCAGTGGTGCGTCAAGGCCGCGACCCTTCATAATTCTAGTCTTTACAGACCATCTGAAGAACAGCCTCCCAAGTGCTCACCTGAAGAGTCACCCTCCCAGCTTAACCAGCCTTAAGTTCTGAATCCTAACCACTCCAAAACCCTCTGGAAGAGGGGGGAGGGGTTAATGTTCACGTGATCCATAAAGACTAGAATTCTGAAAGGTCTCATTTGTGGTCTTGGTCTTGACTACACTGCTGTTCGAGACAATGTGAACCCTCATGTAGAGTATTTGTACACTTGAGGAGTCAAATGTCCTCTAAACATCCATATCATGACCTCTTCCTTTAACAGCACAATATAGATGCTCTATGCTAATATAGCATGCATGAAGCTGAAGCACTATTAGGTGAGAAATATGTAATAACTTTTCATACTCCTACCTGTCATCTTGGCTTTACATCCACACTCACACACATACACACCTACATTCATACACCCACACAGAAATCCACACAATCACTTGCATGCATACACCCACACACATATAAAAAAAATAATGGTTGCCCTGTGTTCGAGGATGGCCGGCTCTAGAGCTACCTAGGCATGAATTTGTTTAAGATGTGGCAGCTATCGCCAACACAACAACCACACCCTGAATTAAAGAGGTGTGTGACTCAAGGTCAAGGAGTAATTCAAGAAGACCGGACAACTCGCCAATTGCACTGGCCATCCATTACCCCGGAACACGATCCATAAATTGAGTAACATCTAGGTTCCCAGTTACTGCTGGGTAGACAGAGGCAAATAGCATAAAGAAACTTGCCCATAGTTTCACAATGCCTGAATTGAATCCAGGGCCATTCTCTTGCAATGTGAGCTGTTGACCATTACGCAGCATATCCACACACTCTCACACATAAATACCTACATCCATATACCCAGACATATTTACACTCACATCTATACAAACACACAAACATACACCCAAACACACCTACAGCAACACACACACACACACACAAAGCCACCCTAGAAGGATATGTTAATAAGTTAAACTCAGTCATAAACTCCTCAGTTTTAACACATGAACATAAAAAAATATTAATCTCATTGCTGTTTATCCTCGTAAGCTGTAGCACCAAGCTCTTCACATTACTCCATCATCTAGCATTATCCTATTGCTGATGTTACTAATGAATGTTTCTTACTGAATACATTATTTCTTTCTAGTGCCAGGGTTTCAGTCTGTAATTAACAGTCAAGTCTAGTTTCTTATTAGAGTATTCAATTCCATGCTTAATTATATACAGTGAACCCTCACTTTACGCGGTCAATTGAACCCACGGCGGCCCGCGTAAAGTGAACAACATAACATATGGGATTAATTGAAATAGAGACCGGGCCGACCCCCAAACTCCACTTTTTCAGACACAATAACTACGTTGTAGTAAAAATAACTTCTTAATTTTATGATGGTATGCACACACAATCAATAATTAAGAGAAATATCAATAATATTAGGTTTTTTAACACTTACATTAGTAGAAAAGATGGCTGGGCACACGGGGATGGGGGGTTGGTTCCGAGGCAGAGGGCAGATTATTGGCCCTCACCTGTGTCACTTGTATCACTATCCACCACAGAGGCTTGCAGGGCCTCTTTGTCAAACCCCTCAAAGTCCATATAAGTCCATATCCTCACTATCATTATCACTATCACTGACCTGGGCCGGCTGTGGTGGGTGGCGGGTGAAGAACTCGGTAATGTTTTGATGATAATAATAATAATAATAATAATAATAATTAATGGTTTATTGAAAGAGCTTGGCAGCCAGAAGGCTGAAAATATACAGTTACATATTTGGGGAATGGGTTACGAATTACAAAT